CGATGTGTACCATCTTTTGAGAAAAAACCTGATATTTTGAGATAAAGAAAGTGCTCTAGAGAGGGAGAGAGTTCCTCAACCAATTGTTCCTCAATTCTTACTCAAATCTTGGAAGATTATCAAGGAAAGCACTCTAGGTCTTCATCCTAGAGGTAAAATTCTACACCCTAAACCTCAATTTCAAAATTTAACTAGGAATGGGTAATTGGTAAGATAATTTTTGGGTATGGGAGTTGTTTATTTTGCATGGATGTGTTATCAAGGGATGTAGGGAGATTGTTGAGCTAAAATGGAAAAGAATGGGTTGTGGGATAAGGGGATCCTCCATGAAAGGGCCTTGAAACCTTAATGCACACCTAGTATTTGATAAAAATGCTCAAAGGAGCTAGAACCATGAGTATCTTCCTAATTTTGGTTAAATTTGTTACATTTCTACAATAGATTGAAGTTGGTAAGACTTCCGGAACATTTTAGAGTTTAAGGAAGCTCAAGTGAGGCATGTTGGCTAAACTTTTCTCTTAGAATTGAACCCCGCAATGTCCTTGTAAGTCTCGTGATGCCCTTTATAAATTGAATTTCTGTCAAATAAGCCTTGTGTCGAAATAATTATATGTTCAATATGTATCACAAAGATTCTTGTTATGTTAAGTTAATGTTTGAGGATGTGGTTTAAGTATGGGTTGTGTGTGTTACTATGTTATGATTTGAAAGCATGAATTCTTGTGAAAGATACCATGACAAGTGTGTAAGAAATCATATGTGCCGAAGACCCTAATTTACTCAAGTATGTCAATAAAGTCTTAATGTTGAAAGGCCTCGTTGTTGATTATTCATGATAACGATTGAAAATGGAATAATGAGCTGAATTATGAAGTACGGCCAATGTGCCAAGAATGATATTGCATTATCGCCAATGATGTCAATAAAATGAATGACATGTAAAAGAATATGAATTGAGTGGTAAATACTTTTAATAACAAATGCTTTGGGAGTATCGATTAGCCACCGAGGAAGGGTAGGTCGGAACAACCTAACCCCGAAACTACACGTGCCGGTGTAGGAGTGATTGAGGGTAAATCCCCGTGTTAATGTGATAATACTGTTTCCCCTTATATGGGATGAGATTGGTGTGTTGAGATATTTTTTCCTTAAATGGGATGAGATTATTGCAATCTAGATGTGATGTAATGTCGACCCACACGACATTATGGTGAGACGGCTTAGCCGATCGGGTTGAGATCGGATGCCATGCCGCACACATGGTGGTATTGTGAGTGTATGTCTTGGGGCGAGACGACTTAGCCGGGCGGGCTGAGATCGGATTCCGTGATAAAACACGGTGGTATATCGGTGGTAAAGATATCCCAACTTAAATTACCGAAACCTACTTGAAATTGACGTTTCCCTTAATGTGACATTTTGACACCGTTTGAGTCTCTTATTGATATCATGTTTTATTTTCCGTTTACTGTTGCTCGTTCTATTGAGATGGTGCTTAGTTTTGCATACTAGTACTATTCCATATGTACTAACGTCTCTTTTGCCGGGGGCGCTGCATCTTTAATGGATGCAGGTGGTTCCATAACAGGTGGTATTGATCAGTGATAGCAGCACACCCTCTCCTCAGCTGATTGGGTGAGCCCCACTTCATTTCGGGGTCCTGTATCTTCTATCCTTTGTACATAGCATTTTGAGGTATTGCCGAGGCCTTGTTGCCGGCATTGTCATAGCACCCTTCTGTTCCTGAAAGAGGCTCCGTAGACATAATGTGGGTTGTATCTGTTTTTGGGAAAGTTAAACTAAAAATATTATAATGGTATCATCTATTCCACTTTAACTATGATTGTACAATGTATTGTCTTGAAAATTTGTTAATGACATAACTAATGGAAATGAACCGGTGTTGTTCACATGATTTTTTATTGACTTATTAATGAAATGTATTCTTCTCTTTATTTGTGGGTGAGTTGGGTAGACGACACTGTGTAGGCTTGCTCGACTGAGGTAACTCTGCGGAGTATCGGTCGCGCTCCCCGAGGTTGGGGCGTGACAGTCGAGCATGAATATCCTCGAGGGTCTCCCTTTGAGACATCCGTTTCACTTACTCAATGGTAACTTTCAGGCGGGCCTCGGCCGCCTCAATATCAGCCCTGTACTAGTCCACCATCTCTTCAGCATCAACCCTGGATATTTCCGACTCGGACCTCGTTATTTTGAGCTCCTTGCCAAAGGCATCCAGTTCAGCAATAGCCGAGCCCAGTTGAGCTTGGAGGTCCTCGATTCGCTGAGCCTGTGTATCGGCCTTCTCTTTCACCACTCGGTGTTGGACCTCTACTGATGCCAACTGCTCCTAGGCGGTCTCCTTCTCCGAAGCCAGTCAGTCTATTTTCCCCTTCTATACATCGGCCAAAGCCTGAACATCGTTCATTTCAGCCTAGAGCTGGTCGATACGATCAATCTTCTACTGGACCTACGAGGTTTGGTCGTTAGTCGCCATGGCTAAGTCGTCATTGCTAACTTCGAATTCAGCCTGCCGGTTTCTGAAGACGACTGCTTCCTTGGCACCTCCAAGTCACCCAACCCGGTGAAATCTACCAAAGCGGCTGAGTCTACACCCTCGAAAAAAGAACGAAGGGGATCGTCCACACCATGAGCCCCTTTGTTGGATCGCTCCTTCACCGTTCAAGCCTCTTCGAGCATGGACTCGGTATAAGAAGGTGACCCTGAAATATCTATCACGTTGGGTGCCTCCTTCGGGGCATGGCCAACATCCCGGGAAGTCTCAGCCCTGGTCTCATCATCGACCTCCCTAATCTGAGGGAGATCGGCCTCATGAATCTCCCGTTTAACAGCCACCCGCTCTTCGGGGGAGATCGGTTTACGGGCCACAAGAATATCATCCTCCTCGGGCTCATCCCTGAGCCGAAGAAGCGAGTCTGAATCGGGTGCTCGAGAGCCAGAACGCTCCTTTGGCTTGCGGGCCAACCTTCTCCTTGGCTTCTTATTCTCCGAGCTCGGGGAACTTGGATCCTTTCTTTTCTTCTTCTCTCCTGAAGCTGCCCGGAGTGGTTCTCTCGAGGACGACCACATCGGGAGTGGTCTCCTCGACTTCGGTGGTCGACTGTGAAGAAGAAAAAGCAACTTTTTGGGGAATGATTTTGGATGTTTTCGCCATTATTATCTGGAAAAAGTCTGAAAAATATGAAGAAAGGTTGGGAGATAAAAGGTAAAAGCTTTGCTGAGAAAATCAAGTGCGCTGATTTGGGTAGAAAATAAGTAAACGCTTACAATTTACTGAGAAATCTTGAAGAACGGAGGTAAAAAAGTTGGAGTATGAAGAAGGGCAGTAATATCCTAAAGATTCGAAGGTAGAAGCTTGGTCAAAAGGTAAAAACTGAACAAAGGAGAGGAGTATTTATAAAGGCTTCGCGTCGTTTCGCATCCAGGGATGGCCTGCCGATGGCTGACACGCATTTGAAGTCATTATGACACGACTGACAGGACCTTCCAAGTTCTTTGTCATTTCTGTCATGGCGTATTGAACAAGGGATCGAAGTGCACATGTCGTTTCTCATCGTTTCCGTAAACTTACTCTCCGAGAAATGAGGGGACTATCTGTATACGGGCGAAACCGAACCCATGGGACGCCTCGGTTTTCGATGAAGTAAATGGAGCGAGAGACGTGACAGTAAGGAACCAGAGTCGAAGCAAAGAGCCTCTCGATCTAGGGTTTGGGCAAAACGCCTACCCGCGGGAGTATCGGAACCATGACCCCCAGGTTCGAATCCCAAAGGCCTCGGAGAGCATTACCAGATAATCGAGCACGACCAACAAAAGATCGTGATATCCGTGACCAGCCGGATGTCACGGCGTAAATCTCGGCACGTATCGGCAGAAAATCGGTGATTAGTTAAACAGAAGATTTTTACCTTTTATGGAATTGTACTTAGGGTAAAACTCCCCTACTATATAAAGTGAGTCTGATTATTCATTAGGGGCATTGTAACATGCATATCAAGATAATATACTCCTATTTTCTCTGTTATTCAAAATTCTTACTTTTGTTCATCAAATCGTCAGTAACGTGAGCCTGGGATCAAAGGCAGGCATTTCATTAAGCTGTTACTAAGTCCGGGATCACTGCTCTTGATTGATTTGACAATATAATTTATTACGTCATTTATTTGTTTAATCTAACGCAATTTATCGTTTGTATTGAACTAACTCACGTATCTTTAAAATCACTTAAAAATTTAATTGTTATCCGTTTTTTTTTAAGGTAAACAATAAGATAACATTTTGGGGATATACGTTATGTACTACTGCTTTTCTAGAAAATGTGAGAGTCTGCGGGTTAGCATAACTACGTAAAGTTTTCGTGTTCTTACATATCACTTAGAAGTCAGTAATGCTCATTAATTTCTATAACATTTCAGTTACTCAATCAAGAGAAAATGGCAAATATATATGTGTAGGGAGAATGAGGAGTTGGAAAGGTTATATAGTTAGAAAATTTTCAAAATAGTTATGTTATTCAACCAGTTTCAATCGTTAACGGAATGTTAATAATGGGTTGGATTTAATTTATACACAAGGATAGTTTAAAGAAACTTTACACACTATTGGTGTAACTTAACTTGCATCAGGTTTTTATTTTTTTGTTTTTCAGGTCTCTAATTGCGCTTATCATAAGCTATATGTAGTTAATTTTCAGATGATATGATAAAATAAAAAAATTCTTTTACACAATTAATACACAATAAAAAATTAAACTTGAAGTTGTATGGTAAGTTTAGGAGTGTAGGAACCATATATTTCTAAGAGGAGGAGACTAGGGTGCACCAGCAGCCATAGGAATAGATCTCAATTTCTTTCTTCAACTTTTCTTTTTTACTTGATGAGAATTGCTATCACCTTTTAATAAAGCAAAAGCAAGAAAAAAGTAAAGAAGGAAAGGGAAAACATAAAGGGGAGAAAAAATAATAAAGGAAAGCTAATAGGAGTAATAATAAAGAAAAAGGAGAGAAAGAAAGGGATAGAAAGACAAAAGTTGTCAAAACCCCATGATTCAAAATTCTCTCCCTTCTCTCTCGTCCTCTAAATAACTATAGCTACTCTTTTTTCTTTCCTCTAGATAATCAGGAGTAGGAAGACCTCTCAAACAAGACTTGCTTGGGATCTTCAGGAAAAGTATATTGGAAAGAAAAGCATATGAAGTAATTAAAAGGAATTAGTGGTAGCTAGCTGCCCGGAAGAATAGAGTGAAAAAAGATAGAGAAATGCATAGAGGTGTTATGCAGAAATCACCAGTGCAGCAAATGATGGGTGGAAGCCCTAACTGGTGGAATATCAATAACATGAGGCCTCCCATATCTCATCAACAAATTGCTGCTACTGTTCCTTCCTTGTTGGCTCCTAATAATAATCATTTCTCTCCAACAGTGGCACTTCCTTCTTCTTCTTCTTCTTCACTGCCTCCATGGAATGATAACCAAGAACAGCTTCCAGAATCATGGAGCCAATTACTTCTGTAAAAACCCCCCACCCCCTCTTTAGTTCAACTAGTTTAAGGTTGTGTGTTTTAGGGGAGGGATATGAAGCAGAAACTTTCATTAGTGTACTATAAACTGCCTCTTACCTTGCAGCAAAATTAAGACAAGTTTCTGATCTGGAATTTCGAACAGTTGTCAATTCTTTTCTCAATATTCCTCTTTCTTTTCTGAAATATCTTTTGGTTTTCTTTTTCTTTTTTATTTCGCGTAACCGTTAAAGTGGATCTTTATGTGACCACGAGGTCACGGGTGGAAATAGCCTTTTGCAGAAATGCAAGTTGCGTACAATAGATCGTTGTTGTCCGACCCTTCCCGAATTCCGCACATAACGGACGATTAGTGTACTGGGCTGCTTTTTTTTTTTCTCCCTTGGAGTAAAAGTCTTTGCTTTAGTCCGTTCTTGGCTAGTTAGTTTCATATATTAATTGTACCTTATCTTTGATATGTAGTGTTATGTTTCTGAAAATACTAAATTATACACCGTTTGGATTTGAATAGTGGAGGCTTGGTGGGGGAAGAAGAGAAGTCAGTACATCTGAGCAATATGCAGGCTGTCAAGTCGAAGTTGGAGAATAATTGGGAAGAACAGTCGACGTTCCTGAGCCAGGCAGCTGATTCTGTTATAGATGTAAATCAGAAAAACTTCATGTATGAACATGTCAATAATGTGGACTTCCATCACCAGACAGAAATTACTGGTAAACCTACTTGGTCACACATGATGCCACTCTCATCTCCCAAGTCTTGTGTCACAACTTTGAGCAGTAACATGCTCGATTTCTCTAACAAGTCGGATACAAGACACCCACCTCCTGATCATTCATCTGAGGTATGAAATAATAGAGCAACCCCTCCACAACCAAAAAAAGTAATAGAGGTCTATTGCTTGCAAACGTTTTTGATAGTACGACATTTCGCCTCTTTGTGTATGATAAATATGCATCTGGTTGCAAAACTTGTACATGTTCTTTAAGTTTCAGTTACAGTTTTATTTTGATCTAAGATCTTTTTCTAACTTAAATTTTATTTCAGCAATTTAAATATTGCTTTATGGAGATCGATATACTAGTAGAATTTAGTTTGAGATCGATAATTGGAGATTAAGAGTGACTAATTCTTTCTTTGTTGCCTTTTCGCGAAGTGCAACAGTAGAGCTACAAGCGGGGCACCTAATAAGAAAGCTAGGGTTCAACCATCTTCAACTCAGTCTACCAAGGTAAATATATAATAAACCAATCAAAATACCACTTTAAACATAATTTTTCTTAAGCTGATTATGTAATACTTACTACCTTTTAGCTAATCCATATCTATCTCTTTCTCATTTTTGTCACAACACTGTTGTCTTTCTTGATTGTCTGTACCTTCAAACATGGTGATTCTTTTCCTTACCATTATCACTATAATCTCTTATCTGTTTTACATCCACAAAAATCTATCATCTCTGTGATCAATCCCATTTATGTAATTCTTTTGCCGTTTGAAAACAGGTGAGAAAGGAAAAATTGGGGGACAGGATAACAGCCCTTCACCNTCCACAAAAGACACAAAAATCCCATTTATGTAATTCTTTTGCGGTTTGAAAACAGGTGAGAAAGGAAAAATTGGGGGACAGGATAACAGCCCTTCACCAACTTGTTTCCCCATTTGGGAAGGTAAGATTTAAGCAATTAATTTAACTACACTAATGACCTAGTTTTACCTTTTTAATGTGGAATAATCACACAATTATATGTATCTTCAGCTTTGAAAGGAATCCCATAGAAAGAAGTTTTTTATACTCCTAAAAAGATGTCAATTCTCTTTATTGTCTTCATCTTTCTCCTTTTATCCTTTAGGGTTTTCACTTTACAGTTTCTTTACCCATTAAAGAGAAGACATGAAAACTTATATTTGCAGTTCCTTTGTTCACTATTGCACCTTTAATAGCAAATAAAGTAGGAATAAGTTTGCTAATTAAAAAATATTCTGGCTACTATCTGTAATAATTTGGTCAGACTTGCCAATTCGAGTGTCCTAATGATACTCCTATGGCTGTGTAACGACTATGATCTAGTTTTTGTTACTCCCTCCTTTTCAGTTTACGTGAACCTATTTTCTTTTTGGTGTCTTCCAAAGAGAATGACCTCTTTCTAAATTTGAAAATAATTTAGCTTAAATTCTCAATTCTACTGTTAGTGAAAAACTATTATAACCACACAAATACCGTGGACCCTTTTTTGAGTTGTTTATGACCACAAATTCCAAAAGTCTTCATTTTTTTCTTAAACTCCGTGCTCAGTCAAAGAGGTTCACATAAATTGGAACAGAGGAAGTATTATTTATTACTCCCTACGTTCCAGTTTATGTGAACCTATTTCCTTTTTGATCCGTTCCAAAAAGAATGACCCCTTTCTAAATTTGAAAACAATTTAGTTTAAACTTACAATTCTACCATTAATGAGAAACTTTTATAACGTTCCCTTTTTTAACTTGTTTAAGACCACAAATTCCAAAAGTCTTCATTTATTCTTAAATTTTTTGCCCAATCAAACAGATTCGCATAAATAGGAGCGGACGGAGTAAAAAGAAAAAGAAATTTTATCTTCTCACTCTTAATATGTGTTTTTCTTTTTCAGACTGACACAGCTTCTGTCCTGTTGGAAGCTATAGGGTACATCGGATTCCTTCAGAGCCAAATTGAGGTGAAATTTCTTCTCTCCTTCATTTTCCCAAACTACCATGAAACGCAGTGATGGCATAAATGTACATATAAAGTTAAAAATTCAGTCTTCAGATATGCTTTTTAGTTATTGAAGTTCTAAAAATATAGGAGTATTTCAATTCTCTTAATTTCAACGCCCTTGAAAATTGCAGGCCCTTAGCTTGCCGTACCTGGGCAGTGGATCAGGAAACATGAGGCAGCAACATCAACAATCTGTAAGAATATTAAAAATCGGGCGAAAATCATTTACACCCCTTAATTAACTTCGGTTTAAAAATTAAGCTCCCCCCCTTAAAGAGAAACTTGCGTATTTCTAGGCTCTTCGGCCCCCTACCGCTCCATCAAACCTTGGTCCCTACTAAAAAAAATAATCCCTCCGTTCTAGTTGATGTGAATCTATTTATTTTTTGGTCCGTTCCAAATAGAATGATTCCTATTCAAATTTGGAAACAATTTAGTTTAAACTTCCAATTCTACCCTTAAGGGAAAACTTTTATAACCATACAAATACTCTGGACCCCTTGTTGACTTGTTTAGAACCATAAATTCCAAAGTCTTTATTTTTTCTTAAACTGCATGCCCAGTCAAACAAGTACACATTAATTGAAACGGAGGAAGTAGGAATTAACAACGGACAATTATTCACTAATTCGATTTAGCGTCTACTTAATTTCAGTTTTTCTTGTAGTGAGTGTTTCGATGNAATACCTGTTTGTACGGAGTGTTTATATCAAATTAATAGGTGCATAATACGTATTTTAAGATAATTTCTCACTTAACCATGATTAATTAGCATAATAGGCTTACCATATATATATAATATGGTAAGCCTATATATAAAATATGGGTTTGTGTGTGGGGCTGTAGATTATCTAAAGCTTTACTTTTTGTTTTAAATTAACGTGTGTTTTGTACATATTACTTTTAGGTTGTACCTCCATATATTTTACTTCTACTATCTAAATTTATGTTTAACACATTTTTCTCTTTAAGTCTATCCCAAAAAAATAATTTTCATATTCAGAAATAATTTAAATTTTATTTTATCATTTATGGAATAATTTATAGTCACATAAATATTTTTGACTTGTGCTAGACCACAAGTTTTAAAAATTTGTTCTTTCTTTGTTAAACATCATATTCAATCAAACACCACCCCATGAATTGGAATAAATTGAGTATAGTTTTTCGGAAACATCCTTGTAGAAGGTGTCTCCGCCGCTAATGGGATAGTGGGAGGTGGGCGGACCACTGTTATGCATGTGGATATCTGTGTTCTGTAGAGCTGTGGCATATAAGGCATGTGAAATTGAATTAACATGTCAGTATTAGTTGCATTTATTGATTAATGATTAATATGTACTATATTTTTGCTTTACAGGTTCAGGAGAGGAATAGTTTATTTCCTGAAGACCCTGGTCAGGTATGCTTTATTGGATCCAATAATTACTTGATACTCCATCTTGGGAATTAATGCCTATTTCACTATCCCTTTAAGTTTTGAACAAATGTATAAGCAGCCTGAATAGTAATGGAGAGTTACCAAGTTATTACCATAAAGATTAGCGCTGTCAATTATTTTCACTTTAACGTTGATTGCAGCTATCGAATGACAACTGCCTGAAGAGGAAGGCAACTAGTGAGCAGGTAGTAGTTTTATGTCTTTGAATTATTAATTTTTTCCGGCACAAAGAATCTTCTTTTTATTTTTCAATTTTCCGAAGGACAATATCTGATTATGTTCTTTTGAATGATCTAAAGGATTATCATGAAGAATCAAAGGACCTAAGGAGTAGAGGGTTGTGTCTGGTTCCATTATCATGCACACTGCAAGTTGGGAGTGACAATGGAGCAGATTATTGGGCTCCGGCATTCGGAGGAGGTTTCCGGTGAATGGTAAAAACAAGAACTTGGTCATGTACGGCACACTAAGACCAAAAAGAAACCAAGTTGCACCAAATTATTAAGTACTAGCTATAACATCATGATCACTCAATCTGCTAAAATCTAAGGTTGATTGCTTATGATGCTATGCATTTTCTGCTGAATTAGTTGACCATGCAACGGTGTGCTGTAATATTACATAGTTAAGCTTACTATTTGGCTTAGAACTCAGTAACTATGGTCTAATTCTTTTCCTTTTCATCGGCAAGTACAATGATCATTTCATGAATTAATGTATATGCCATTCCTCTATGATTAGTACTCATTTTTATGCTGCTCTTATGCAGCATCTCCTCTTTAGCTGAACTATATATTTCATTTTTCCCAGCAAGAATTTCAGTATCATATCTGCTACTAATGAGATATGTCAAAGATTAAAGAGTACTTGCAATGTTAAAGTACTAAATTAAGTTGTTTTTGGAAAAATCATACACATCTTATGTTTGGGGTAATGCTAAAGTGGTCCTTAAGTATATATTTTTTAATTTTAAAACCACCGCCAAGGCATTGCGCCATTGGTGTTGGGGGTTAGGCTCGACCCCTACCATGTTTATTCATAAGAATCCAAAATTACAAAACGGAGGGGGACATGGACCTAAACCTCCACGATCTGCAATAAGGAGGAAGAGGGAGCCTATATAACTCTTCCTTATCAATTTACTTATTCAACTTACAAAGAAATTACATCTGTCGTATCTTCTTCTAATACTAGGAAGTTGCCACTTATCTAGTCGAAAGTGTCCCTTCACCTCTCTTGGAAGATGTTGGAAAGAGTAATAGAAGATACCATTTCCACTAGATGAGGCAAGCTTAGCTAAAAAATCCGCCACTTGATTAGCTTCTGTAAAACAATGTTTGAAGATTACCTCTGTTCCATTTGTTGCAGCAGTGATATCTATGATAGTCTTTCTGAGTTTGAGTTTCTTGGTGTCTTTGTTGTTCAACATATCAGTCACAATCTTAGAGTCCAGTTCCAAGTCAAAGGCACGGATTCCATTTTGGAGGCACCAGTTTACCCCATTGATCATTCACAAAGATCCTATCCAACCTTTTTCATATCCTTTTACCAGGTCTTCTGCTGTTACACCAAGTAAATTTGGGCTCCACAAAACTTTGGTTAGCAAGTCCGCATGTCTCCATAGTGCTAATGAAATTGAAACACTTGTGAGCTCGATGAGGTTTTCCCCCTAATTTCTCATTAGGGTCCATGATCGCATTGAAGTGCTTTCAATGTTATCCCATAGGCCTCTTCTTTCCGCAGAAGTGCATTTGGCATATACCGCTGTGATGTATGTGCTTGTATTCGGATTATCCTTGAAGTGAAGGGTCAGTTGTTGTTCATCGTTGATCAAAACTTCTTTATGATCTATATGTGTAGACATGTGATTTTTGACCCTCCCCAAGATTTTTCATTTTTTAAGCACGTAAATATTTAATTTAGGCCTAATATAGCTATTTCAGCTAATTTTGACTATTTTACTTTATTTCGTCACAAAAAAATGAAAATTACAAAAAAAATATTTTAGTTTACGTATCTTTCATAAATTTAAATAAAAAATATACAAAAATAGTACCTTATCTTTATTTTTATATAATTTTGAAAACACAAAAAATAGTTTTATGTTTTATAGTTTAGTTCAATTAATTAAAATTAGTTTTATATTTTTATATTATAATTGTACATAATTTTAGAAGGAGGAATTAGTTTTAGGTTGGTTTATCCCGTCTTTATAAATCTTGTAGTCCATTTCTCTAGTCTTTGGCCCAATTCCCTAGCTCATAATTCCTAGGCCCATACCCCTAACCTAATCTCTACCCTTATATAATAGTATACACCTAAAATAAAGGTAGACCAAAAATATAGGATCGGTCGCTTTCGTCCTCTCCAAAAAGATCAAAAGAAAAACCACAAAAAAATCAGTGACCATTGTTTTCATCAACCGAACGTTACTCCCACGCTTCAGCCATTTTTCAATTAAAGATGCTCTATTGGGATACAAAGAACAAATGAATGTGAAAAATAAAAACCTGAAATTGACAACAGTGTGCCAAGCTCCAGCAAATACATTTAAGCCACACCAATTCCGCTCTCTACTGTTCGTTAAGTACAGTGATCCTTAAGCCTAATTGACCTTGGGTATGATTGGACCAACGGCTGCAATTTCAACAATATCCAAACCCAGTTGAGTAGGTCCAAGCTCCCGTCAAAATTTTGAAGTAAAGGTTTTGTACAGTTTTCGGTTATGAGAATTCAAGGTTGCGCCTCGTATCGGCTTTCGGTATTGTTTATATTTAGAAGGATAAATTTCTTTTGATACATTACAGGTTCGTGTAAAGATCTATTTTGTTCCTCCATGCTCTTGTTAGTTTGTTAAATGGCGTGAAGTGTTTTAGCTCATGAAATGCCTCCGATGTTGTTTGTTTGCTTCTCTTATATATGAATCCATGACGGTCCTTTTCCTTTTTTTTTAATTATTCTATTATTGAGTATGCCTTTGATGGTATCTCTTCATTGATTATTGTGCCGTGTCTTTCTTTAGTTTGCTTGTCGGTATTTTCTTGTATTGATCCTTTATTGTATCATATGGAATTAAGCTCACTAATTTTTCTGAAATGGATTAGTTTTGGAATATGCAATAATAGTATAATGTAGAGTGGCCGTGATTAGCTAGCTCATTTGGATCGTATGGTCACTAACTCTAACCAGTTTAATTTGAGGCACCGAATCAATTTATGTCGTGTTAGAAAGTCTTCAATAATATCTTTTCCATAATCCATGGCCCTCGCAAAGTTGTAAGCGTAGAGTTGCTTTAGGCGCGTTATTTTAATAATTTACCTTCCTAAACTCGAGTGCGCATTTATGTGACCCAAATTCAAATTTCAACAACGTTAGATAAAATGTGTCGTGGACCGCGAGTGTATTTATGTGACGTGGTTCAAGACATATTTTAGATGACGTTGAATTTTTCCTAAAATTAATGAAATAAAGTGGTTAAGTTAATATTGCACCATAGGCTAAACATGTACTAAAATCAGATAATAGGCCAATTATGACAGTTGAGCGACCGTGCTAAAACCACGAAACTCGGGAATGCCTAACACCTTCTCCCGAGTTAACAGAATTCCTTACCCGAATTTCTGTGTTCGTGGACTATAAAACAGAGTCAATTTATTCCTCGATTCGGGATTTGAACCGGTGACTTGGGACATCATAAAATTATCCCAAGTGGCGACTCTGAAGTTAATAAATAAATAATCCCGTTTCGATTGTCACTTTAATTGGAAAAACTTCCTCATATACCCTTCTCGGGGGGTGTAGGTAAAAAAGGAGGTGTGACAGCTCTAGCAACTCTACTGGGGAACGAACTCAGAATCTCTGGTTCAGGGTTCAGAATTCGAGCTTAAATGAATTGTTATATTTGGTTTTATCTGTTATCTGATTTTATTATATGTTTGGGCCTAATGTGCTAAATGTTGCTTTTACCGCTTTGATATTATTTGAATTGTATATAAACTGTTACGAAACCCTTCTCTTCTCATCTTCGGGGATGTGCACGCTGGACGTGACTCCCTATTCTGTTAGTGTCATACCTTGAAATAAGAAAGAGGCTCGGACAAGTTACAAAGCTGGATGGCCTTTTGGTTCCCGGTACGTAGCCCCCTCCTCGGCTCTAGTTGTCCGCTCGGGTACACAAGTCTAGAACAATATACCCAGGTTTTGAACCTAGAATAACTCAGCCTCATGCCGGATCCCTAGTAGGAACGTTTGTTTGCATCATGTGCATTTGACTTTGGAGACTCAACACAGGGGTTGGGTTTGTCTAGGACAGATGTACCAAAATTAAAGACCATCCTAATGCATCTTACGTGCTACTTGCGTATCTGTCTGTTTCGGCTTGCATGTTTACTGGCTTCTAGAATAGGGAAAGAAAATCAAAAAAAAAAAGAGAAAAAAGAAAATCAAAAAAAAGGGAGAAAGAAGAAAAAAGAAAAAAAAAGTGAGAGATAGGTATTTAGAAAACTCTGAAAATTTGCCAAATTCTGAAAAAAAAGTCATTTCAAAATGAGCCAAAATTCTCAAGTGTCATGTTTTCCTGTTCCGTCAAAACAGGCGAATTACGCGGGTCTGATTCTCACCGGATGTGAGATACGTAGGCAAACCTCATCGGTTAAGGCCCATAATTTTAAAAAAATCCAAAAAATATTTTCCTTTACTTCCTCTCTAGAAATTTTTTTTTTTAGACCCCAATTTTCAAAAAATCCAAAAATATTTTCCATTACTTGCTTCTTTAGAAAGTCTTTCTTTTAGACCCTAATTGTTTTTTTAAAAAAAATATATACAAAAATATTTTCTTTTAATTTCTTCCAAAAATCCAAAAATATTTTCATTCTTCTTTCAAAATTGAAAAAAAAATTGAAAATTCAAAAATATTTTCTTTTTTTTTTTAGAAGTATTTCTTTCATAAATTCAAAATAAAATTCCAAAAATATTTTCTTTTTTCTTTAGAAGTTTTTCTTTCAAAATCCCAGAAAACAAAATTCAAAAAAAAATCTTTCTTCTTTAGAAGTCTTTCTTTGCAAAAATGCTGAAGAAAAATCAAAATCCAAAAATATTCTCTTTCTTCTCTATAAGTCTTTCTTTCGAAAAAATAAAATAAAAAATTCAAAAAAAAGTTAGTTTATTTACTTTATTCATGATCTTCCCGAACTACGCAAGATTTGATTCATGTTCCCACATGATACGTAGGCAACCCACATCAGGTTCGATCACCATTAAAAAGAAATGAAAAAAATGAAGAAATGAAAAAATATTGATAATAATAAGGACCGACTGAGTCCATTCTAACATGTTTTGTTNCCTGAGTACCACTCGTACTCGTTTGATCTTTCTGCAAACATTGAGAAGCCTTCCCGAAAGATGGTACAGGAAGAAATGACTCAAAGAGTGAAAATCATAGAACAACGATTTAAAAACATGAAAGGGTTGGCAGGTCAAAAGAGTGTTGCCTTCAAAGATCTATGCATGTTCCCCGATGTCCACTTGCCGCCTGGTTTCAAGACTCCCAAATTTGAAAAGTATGATGGACATGGAGACCCTATAACCCACCTGAAAAGGTATTGCAATCAACTGAGAGGTGCGGGAAGAAATGAAGAATTGTTGATGGCTTATTTTGGGGAAAGCCTTACGGGAGTAGCATCCGAATGGTTTTTGGATCAAGATGCATCTCGCTGGTATGTCTAGAATGACATGGCACAGGCCTTTGTCAATTAGTTCCAATACAACATCAACATTGCCCCAG